GAAAATGCAATTTGCCGAAATGACTGCTCCCCGTCGTTAGGCAATCTACTTTAATGGCGGCTCATCCTTCAGAAGAGGTGTTGTGATTGTTAGCGCGTGTTGATCAGTTTTAATCACGAGCTTTCAAACACACTCAGTTGCCTTGATAAACTGGCAACGCATTAGAAGCATCAAGACCCGGTAATGACAAACCTAAGACTCGCGTCCCCTCGACTTCACCCTCTCCCCCAGCCCAATACCACCCCCACCCCCTACAACCCACCGCATTCCCCACAATCAAGACTTGTTCAATCACAAGAAATCGACACATCAAACAAATCTGCCTAATGATATGACGATATTTTTCCCTAGCAAGGTTACTATACCTCTGTCGATAGTAATCTTGTTAGTTTGAAGGTATTGTTACATTTCTTCAGAAAACCTTAAATCGGTCCTTTCGCGAATCTGATGCTGGAGATTTAATCAATGACCACCTGCTCAGATGTACAGAGGACCGTTCAAGTGGATGTACAACTGAAAGTGTTCGATTTTATATGCATTGCGTAATTGGCCCAAAACACTACACATTCTACATGGATCTAATTTAGTGGAGAGCTTTTCGGTGTCGTTTTACCACAGCAAATACAATTCTCAATAAACATGATCATATTTTTTACGTGGATACTTGTATCATGAGATGAAACCCTTCGGGAGGCTAATATTCATTTGTGTGTAACACAACAGGCAATTCAGCGCCATATACAACAACATAAAGTGTGATGTGTTCTTTGGCAATGGCAGGAGAAAGCCTTCAACTTCAGCTTTCGAATTTCAGTTTGCTTTTTGTGTAGATGAATATCGAGAAAAACAAAAAATAATCTGTCAAATGAAATATATCAGCAGGAAACAATATCATACATGTTTATATATCGGCATAATTAGCTATGTTTAAAAAATATGAAACGTCATTCTTGTAATTGTTGTCAATGTCCTTGTTCTTCATCTGGTTATTTGGCTGAAATATGGCGTAGGTCGATGCTCATGATATCAATCACTGGATTGTCTGGTCCCAACTCGATTATTTACAGACCGTCATAACGATGTTATATTGTAATTCATACAGCATTAATACTGCTGAGTTCTAAAAGAGTGACTGGGTGTGGCTTTAAGCCGCTTGTAACAATATTCCAGCAGAATCACGACGGGGGAAACTAGAATTGGCTTCACATATTGGACCCATGTGGGGAATCGAACTCAGGGCTTCGATCACAAGGCCAACCAATCACAGGACTTATAAAAGAACTATCAAAGAATTATCAAAGAACTGTCAAAGAATTATCAAAGAACTGTCAAAGAGTATCAACCGGAGCTGAGTTTAATCACCACGCACGAGTACAGCAGTACCATGCGGGACACGGTCTGGAAGGAAGAATCAATGCTCTCTCCAACACAGCTGATACCTGCTGTGCCTCCGTTGACATCGATAGGTAACATGTTCTTGCGGTATGTAACCCGATACCTACCAGATCATTGTAACATGATGTAACTGGTATGTTACACACTTCACGTCCTGTGATGACACGAGATTACACAGCTGTGATGATAGAATTATCTCGCATGTAACATGTAGCAATGTAATTGCACCATAGACAAATATGTGATTAAACCAGGCCGAACTCTTGTATAGAGTTGTCCGACCTTTTAGCTTGAAGTCGTATACACGTTAGTTAAATTCCCTATTATAACGTGATAGATGATAAAATATCCTTACATTAACTGAAGTAAAATTACAAAGTGGAGATAAAATTAAAGCCAATGAGACAGCAGAATTGGATGGAAAATATGATCGACTGCTCTTGGGTACCGTTACACGTTTGCAATGTATCATTTTCAATAGACACACGTCCTTGTCATACAATTGTGCCAGACAGCGCGATAAACAGATTCGCTTCACTGTCAGTGTTTTATAGTGTCCGTTATTGAGAGGGAGATAAACCTTACAGTACATTAGGATATAGACTTGCACAGGTCTCTAAGGCAAAAAATATTAGTTTAAATAATGATCTCAAGATACGAGTAATATTAATAATAAGAAGAAGTTGTCCCTATTGCACAAATCTCTAAGGCAAAAATGTTTTGTTTAAATCATAATTTCTAGATGATATTAATAATAAGAACAAGCTGTCCCTATAAGAGACTGTCGTCCTTTACTGTCCCTTATCTATACTTGCCTATTTTAAGGATATAATTACTCTACACCAACGGGCTAATCATTAGGTACGGGGCGGTCGGTTAACCTAGTGGTTAAAGCGTTCGCTCGTCACTCCGAAGACCCGGGTTCGATTCCCGACATGGGTACAATGTGTGAAGCCCATTTCTGGTGTCCCCCGCCATGATATTGCTGGAATATTACTAAAAGCGGCGTAAAACCATACTCACTCACTATCATTAGGTACAGCCTCGGAGCAAGGCTAATGTAGGATACTACAACTGTATTATTGATACCAGAGTGAGTGAGTGAATTGGGTTCGTTGTCACTATCTACAGGGGAAATATTCCAGCGTTTTCATGTCACACATGGTGGAAGGGAAGCTGGGTCCTTGGTGGGACGAGCGAACGCTGCTATAACCAAGCTGTCCTAATCGATAATAAATCAAAGGGACTGAAGGCACTAGTTGTAAACGCCAAATTCAACACGATGTTTCTGTTTCCCATTGGGTAAAACTAACCCTCTATAGTTCAAATGGACTTTGAGATGTTTTACAAAATGGTACCTGCAGAGATTACTTCTAAGCATGCAGGACAAATAATTACAGGACCATCTTCCACACATCCCGAACTTCCTGGAATGTTTTGGAAACATCTACACGTTACATTAATATCATTTGGATAAATATCTAAGACACCGCCGAGATCTGTTAAGCAGCTGATGAAGTTCGTGCAATCTATTCAACTACTGCATGGGCGAGTTAAATGATTGCATTGATTCAGCAATATTGCAGCTGCAGCCATATTACATCAGATGACCATTCCCAGGGAACAGTAACTACACACATCATAGGTTATCGATTTGGTTTCCTTATGTGGACGTGATTGTGTCACTTTGTAAATTAAAACAAATCTGTTCGTCAGTCAGTAACCATACCGAATCATTTAGTGTATTAAACTTTTATATGGAAATGTATAGTATTTAATCAGTTTTGTCGATCATAGCTAGCTAGGTCTCTAGTTCATTCTCGTTAAATCTAGATTTAAAGAAACAATCCTATATGTTTTTATGTGATATAGCCTAGAACTGCTGATTATCTGTTATCTGCTCATGTGTAAGACACTCATAGAACAGGCGTACTATTGTTCTACACGCACAATCGCGTTCTACACGACGTAACATCTGTATTTCGAATTCAAATCCTCCAACATTCCACTGGAAGAAACTCGACCCTTTGAGCGCGATAATCTGGGCATGTTAATGTTAAATAAACACGCCAGGAATTGCAGAAACGTCTTCAAGCTATTGTCCCTGAATTCAAATCATTTTCAACATTAAAGTTTAAACTGGGTGATGGGGTACTGTCGGCCACCCCAGGGACGCGCGATATAAGGTAACCAGTCAACCTCCACACACCCTGACGAGCCTTATAAATAACAGAGAAACATCGCGTAATGATAGAGCTGTGTGCTACAGATAGAACCCATCACAGTGTAACTGATCTACCTACTCTAGAAACGGGACGTATCTCATTTGACAAACGTGAACACATGTTGATATAACGTAGACATCCGTCACTCGGAGTCACATATGTTAACATCAGTTTGTATTTTTTAAGAGCTTATTTCACATCACTACTTATACAAACGTCTCCGGCTTGTCCTCTTAAAAGGAATGTTGAAACGATGGACATAGAGCTCGGTGGAATTCCTTTCTTCAAAATAAATCTGGTTTTGGTTTCACAAGATACATATATTCCAGTCGAACATGTTACTATACGTGGGAGAACGGATATAGGATCCGCGACGTGTGGGTTTATGACTCAACACTTATGTTCGACACATTAAGCGGAGTCTCAGAACACAGGCCATAACGCTATCGATATAGAGCGCAACAAGTGACTCGTGGTTACAAGGCTATACCACTCATCGCTCGGCATCAACACATACGAAAACACAATCTTCCTATACCAGGAAGACAGGGTCATAAGTATGGAACCTCACAACTAAACCGTTTACCACGTGATAGATCACACCAAGCAAGAGACGCAAGCAGACTGTGGATCATGTTTTGCTTGGGACTATGTCAAATTACGAGGGCGTGAGAACGGGTGCCGGGACGACATAGGAAGTTCTTCATTGTCTAGGAATGTAAGAATGTTTGAGAAGGAAATATCTTTTAATGTGGGATCAAAAACGATTATAAAATAACAGATTTTGTTTAACCATTATTACTTATCTGGCTGTGTGCACGAGAAGACCTATATCTCATGTATAGGCCTTAAGAACTCGAGACCACGATGCCAGATTTGTCCGGTGACGCGACCTAATCCGCTGTCGTGATCCATGGTGGCTTGGATGCGGAGACGCCTGAGCGGAGGTGGGTGTAAATACTTGGAAAATACGAATTACACGGCTAGAGAGGGTATGTGGGGAAACAATATAGCTCCTAGCACTGAGAGTGAATCACGCACGAGTTTCCCATCATGTTCACGTTCAAAATCTATTACTTCCGCTAACACCTATTACCACCGCATCCCAATATGTCACTCAAAGCCAATACTCTCGACCCTCTGGATTTATTCCAAGTATTACCCAGCTTGTTACAGTGGCTGTTTTCAAGGGGGAGAAACGGTAAAAGAGGACTATAACACCCCTGTACAGCTTCAAGAACTCGGAACATATGCCATAGACCTATTTTGGTCTTCAGCGAAGCCGGTGAGAGGAGACAAGCGTCCGACCCTCTAAGTTAGCAACAGGCATCAAGCTTTGCAAACTTCCCAAACTAGACCTTGTGTTATAGTGTTACTTACTAGATTCGACGATCCATACTTGTAAGACGGCTAAGCACAATATCCAGAGTATAATCCAATCATGGGAAATCATGTTCACTGTTCATTCTCTAGTGAAACTACACCAAGGCGCTCGCAGTTTCCATAATGCCAGATCCACAGTGCTAGACGGCCTAAACTTTCTTCTACAGATCCAATTTCAAAAGCTGCTTGCCTCGAGGGGTACTGTGCTCACCCTCTGCGCATGCTCGGTAACACTCCGATTTCGTCGGGGGCCATATGTGGCACCGGCTGTGAGCAATGCGGTCTGTATAATCCAGAGATAATCCAAATGATGTAATATTTACACCTACACAAAAACAGTACCCATCTTATCAGCTGGCTGGTGTTTTACACAGGTCGTTAACGAAGTCAGTGGCAGATTAACGAAGTAACGCCCGCCCCCTGAGAGTTCGAAACAAAGTACTCCTCTCCCCTCGCCTGGGGCTAGTTTCCCCTGGGTCAGGCTTTCTCGGGACATACACGGTAAAGAGACAGCCGTTGAATCAAAATGACGGGCGAGCGCTGACTGATGCGTGCTGCACTGTCCAGCGATACAGCGCGACTGACAGTAGGCTAGCGTTCTATCGAATAGTCAGTCACATTGCCGTCCACAATGCGCTCTTATCCCCACCCCTGGCACAGCGCGGGAGGCGATTTATTTCGACTCTTAGTTTACAGTATTTCGCTGGCTTTGAAAATTTGGGTTCAATAATAACGTCCTACAATAACGCGGTCATTAGGGCATCAAAGAAAACACGTGCATCAAACAATGCACGCGCACCACGTGCTTATTAGAGGACTTGGCCGTGAGTGAAGCGCATCCAATATCATATCTGGAAATGAATGCACTAATATTTACCGTCCACACACTCGCAAGTCTTTGAGTTCATGCTGACCAACTTGGCTTTGAATTACTGGTGTTCAAACATGCGAAGCATGAGAGGCTTTGAGGCTTTTGAGTACAATGCATACGCTCTCGTGCAATCATTCAACCACAACATGCAATTCAACAACATAATTCAATAAAAACATCGATATCAACGCGGCACTTTGATTTTAATGAAATACAAATTTGAACTAACCCGAGAGTATACGAGCTACATGAGAAGTGAAGTGATAATCCCATTTAAATGCTTTGAAATTAACAAAATAACCGTTATAAAAATGATTGGTATGTTTGAAATTTACATCCTAAAATTATTTTTTTATATAAATTATCCATATAAATGAACAATGGTTTTATAAACTAGGTTTAATATGAAAGATCAAAGAATAATAGCGTCAGTAATATTTATTATTTTTGTGTATCAGTATCAGTATGGCAATCTGCTACTTAAACGTTATTAAAATGATATTATCAATATGCTAACACCGTTCCCCTAGTGATGTATTTCTACAATTGGCATTGTTATTGCTAATGACGCTGATTCCCCGTGGGGATTCCAGGCTAGAATTGTCCCAGTAGCATATGTTTAGCGTAAGAGGCGACTAAAGGATCGGGTGGTCAGACACGGTGGCTCTTACATTGTGTGTCATCGTGCCTCGATGGCGTGGTTCGATGCTCGTCCACACGACTTGTGTGTTTTTCGTTTAAAGGCGCCATGACTTAGATGGGATATAACTGACTGCACCGTTAATGATATACTAATATCTAGTCTCTAAAATGAACATATTTTACAGAAAAAAACAGTTGTTAACTTATAGTTATAAAATATAATAAAAAGGAGCCCAGAGACTTTCTTAATTAATCTAGACTTGCCAAACATTACAGACTTGCATGGGCTGTATTGGATATATTTGTGCCAGGGTCTGTGTGACAGACTACGTTAATGATAGTCACCCATTCTCTCATTTGTGTCACGGCTGTAGGCCCGTGGTCAGTAGAGCGTCTTCTCAACAGGAACAAAGCTATGATCGATTCCTGTGGAGATCGTATTCCTAGCATCCACAACCACACCGTTAATGTTTAGTTGTTGTTTTTTGTTTAACGCCACACAGAAATATTCCTGCTTCTTCACAGCGGGAAGTACATCACTGAATCTCGACCAAAACAATGCTTGATATTATGAGCAACGTCCCACGCAGTCGGGGTACGATGCCACACAAGCAGCCAGGTCTGACAACCCAAGGCATTGTGTCGCTCCGTGTGACAAGCATGGTGGCCTATTCAACAAGGAATTCCAACGGATGACATCGTGAATCTAAAGTTATTAAATACAACGTTATAAGTACTTGGCTTGACGCTGCTTAGCTTTGACCTCTGATCTCTTCTGATGAATGAATGTTGTTTTATGCATCACTCATTAATATCACGGTTTATAACGACGGCCTGTAAAAGATCGGGAATACTTTCCAGAGTTTGATAGCCAGAGCAACGACCAATGACGTCAGGCTACGGTGACACAGTGGCCACGTCATCCATTGTATCCACGTGATAATTATTTACAGTTGTGACCCAGGACAAGAGATTGTTTATAGTTTAACGCCGCACTCAGCAATGTTCCAGCTATATGACGGCGGTCTTTTAATAATTAAGTCTGGTCCAGACAGTACAGTGATTGACATCATGAGCTTCGATCCACGCAATTGGTATACGATGACATGCATCAAACACGTCAGTGAACCTGACCACCCGATCCAGTTAGTCGCCGCCTACGACAAGCATAGTGGATTTTTATGGCAAGAATGGGTTGCTGAAGACTTATTCTACCCCGGGTCTTCACTGAAGATGTAGTCAGACCCGGAATTCCTGTTTGATTCTAAAACTAGACTTCAAAACGTCAACGCCAGATCCAAGAGATCATATTACAAATGAATCAAACTCTGGTCTAGAATGATTTGGCAAGTCTAGATTGCCTCGGTTCCAAGTAATAAAATTAAGCATTGTTCTGGGCTCAATTCAGATATTAGGTTTTTTTATTTTGTAGATATGTATTTTGTTATACAAGATAACTGTATTTCTGGGACAACATGTCTGTCTAGAGTATAATCAGTCTCAATTATCGGCCGAAACTAATTCCTTATGGCCTAAAATATAAAATATAGATAGTTTAGTTTCCCCCTTGTTGGACACCTTCAGGCAGTAAAATACTTGCTTTATTACAGCGGCCTGTGTATAATAAAGTCTGGACCTGTGAAACCAGTGGTTAATAGAATGAGCAGCGATCTACGCGATGACACATTATCACCCCGGTCACACATTAGAACAGCCGACCTCCAATCAACTCTTCCTCGCGACAAACGTTGAGTACTGAAACAAATTTGACCACAATATCACAAAGGGAACACGAAAAGGGACTTTAACTCTTGCGACAATTATTTTAAAGTAGACTAACACTTTTTCTATGAAAACATTTCTTTAAAATAATTGTACTTTTTTAACAGAACCACTCCTCCTCTGCTGTTTTCATATGAATCAAGGAAACTAGACTTGGTTTAGTTTGACTTAAGTTAAAAAATAATATACATATATCTAACACTAACTGCGAGTACTACTTTTAAAACAATCGAATTTAAGTTAATAGTCCAAAACCGACTAACATCAATTTTCATTTTTTAAAATTAAATAATCCGACATTGTTGAACTAAAATTTATATTTTATTATGATGTTACTTAATATCAAGATTAAGATACAGTTTTCGAGAAAAAATTACAGAAATGATACTGTGATATATAGGATGTTGCAATAAGGAGGATTTATGAATAGTAACAGCACAGTCACACTGTCGGGGGAGCAATATTAAATTTGGCCTAGTTTTCACAACAAAGGCGTTGTGAAACGGACAAGATGCCCAAATCAGTGAAACCCTCTTTGTCCATGTGTGAGAGTCAACGATTAGGCATTTCCTTCAGACGGTTGCGAGGGACACGCGTGTTACACTTGTGAAAATTCCGTTATCCTCCGGCCGAGCGCCGAGGCGATTGATTAATTAAAATCTCAACCTCGAGAACACTCTTTTACACAAATTAGAGCTTCTTCATAAAATCTCGCTGAATAATTAATCGGAAATGATGTCATTATGAAAGATAACAGTTTCAAATTTTTTGGCTTTATTTCTTGGTGTGACCTTGGGGGACGGAGAGTCGTGATAATATTTTTCTTTAATATACAAAGGAATTCGATACACTGATGTTTTTCTGTAGAGTATAGGTGTGTGAAGATGTACTTCGTGATAGGTCATTCATGCCACATTACATGCTGATATCGCCGTACGTGGGCTTGAATTGCAAGCTTTATCACTGAAAGTTTTATTTTCGACTCTCTTCAGTTCGAATCTATTTATCTCGAGCGACAAAACCGATCACAAATGAACCCCTTGTTTCGACTTATTGTTACTCCTCCGTGGTACAGTGGTAAAGGCACGTCACTTGACGTGCAAGATTTCGTCCGCCTTTCGCATTCAGCTCAGGTTGCGTAGGTCATGAGTTCGAATCCAAATACTTTTCAAGACACCCATGATATCAAGCGAACAATATATTATTTATGGTAAAAACCTGAGAATGTTTTATTTATACCTTACCTCATACACAACTATATTCAAGGAACTGTTTGTTAGACTATTGGGACATCGGTAGACTAACCCTAAGTCTCTTTCTGGTTCTGGTTTGTTGTTTTACGCCGCACTCAGCAATATTCCAGCTATATGACGGCGGTCTGTAAATAATCGAGTCTGGACCAGACAATCCAGTGATTAATATCATGAGCATCAATCCACGCAATTGGGATTGATGACGTAAATTAACCAAGTCAGCGAGCCTGACCACCCGATCCCGTTAGTCGCCTTTTACGACAAGCAAAGTCGCCTTTTACGGAAAGCATGGGTTGCTGAAGACCTGTTCTACCCCGGAATCTTCAAGTCTCTGAAAATATGTGTAATTTTGATAGAAACAAACTACATTTGACCTGAAAAGGTGTTCCAGTGACCTGTGGAGACGCTGGACCTGCTTCATGTAGGATTAGAACTTACCGTGAGGGCTGGGGCAGCCTGGGAGGAAGGGAAGATAATATTATATGGTTTAGGGATTGTGGGACAGAGGAGACTGTCGGTAGCAGTAGTTAGGGGAGTAGTATCGGAAGCAGACGTACTTGTAACAGCAGTAGTGCTGATTGTATCAGTATTAGCGGCAGTGAGTGAGTGATTTAGGTGGCGCAGCAGAGTTACGTCCCTTTGCCGTGCCATTCACGTTACACGTGATCCTGGGCGTGTCACCACCAAGTACGTATGTCAAAGGGGAGTGGGAGGAAAGTGTGTGTGGGTGTGTGTGTGTAGGGGGTGGGGGTGGGGGTGGGGTGGGGGGGTATGGTGTTGACAAACCCAAATCATGATCAGAGCAAATGTGTGATTCATGCCAACAATCTTAGGACGCAACTCTGCACAATTAGTGAGTGAGTTGGGTTTAACGCCGCTTTTAACATTATTCCAGTTATATCACGGGGGTCAGCTTAATGTAGGAGGAGTGAGTGAGTGAGTGAGTTGGGTTTAACGCCGCTTTTAACAGTATTCCAGTTATATCGCGGCGTGTCAGCTTAATGTGGGAGGAAAGCCCGAAGTGATGCAGGTCTCAGAC